CCCTGGGTTCGATTCCTCAGCACCACATAAGCAAAAAGAAAAGTAAATGACCACCCATGGACTGTTTCAAATAAAAAGCACAACTACAAAGCAGAACTGGGATTTAAGAAAAAATGACAGGGGCTGGGAAGGTGGCTCAGTGGTAGAGCGCTTGCCTTGCATGCCTGAGGCCCTGGGTTCGATTCCTCAGCACCACATAAAAAAGCCACAAGTGGTGCTGTGGCTCAAGTGATAGAGCGCTATCCTTGAGCTGAAGAGCTGAGGGAAAGCGCCCAGGCCCAGAGTTCAGGCCTCACGACTGGACGCCTCCCCCCAAAAAAAGACAGCTTTCTTGTGACTGCAGTTATAGAATCCACTTAAGAATTAAAATTGGGGGGCTGGGAAGGTGGCTCAATGGTAGAGCGCTTGCCTTGCATGCCTGAGGCCCTGGGTTCAATTCCCCAGCACCACATAAACAAAAAAAAAAAGCCAGAAGTGACGCTATTGCTCAAGTGGTAGAGCACTAGCCTTGAGCTAAAGAGCTGAGGGACAGCGCCCAGACCCAGGGTTCAGGCCCCATGACCAGAACAACCCCTCCCCCAAAAGAATTAAAATTGGTTATTTTTTTTATCGTATGCCAACTTATTACTAATTACAACAGCTACTGAGTAGTGTACTTTGATAGCAATTCACTAAGAAAACCCACAAAAAATTGTCATTTTATGCAGTTTTACAAAGCAATCTGAGTGTTTCATACCTTTGTGGAAGATACCTTTGGCCTAAGACCTATTTTTGACATTATAAACTTCAGTAGTTTCCATCCATAGTACACTAGTGGTAATATATTAAGGTATAATTCACCTGGGGAATGAGAGAGGAAAAATACTTCAGATTAAGAAAAACTGAAAATACAGAATTACAGTACGTATGCATGCATATGTACTATATTATCAATAATAAAGGAACACAGTAAAAATAAGAGAAAAGTAAAAATAAGGGAAAAATTCAAACTGCTAAAATAAAATTTACTTTTATACCTGACTTTTGTAATTGTAACGCCTCTCCATCACCTTTATAAAAACCACTTTTTAAAAATTTACATTTAATGACTATGACCTTATCAAATAATTTGTGGTGGTATAAATGGAATGTTTTTCACATGAACTCAATGATGCATTAGAAAAAACAGAAAGTAACATCTGTGTACCTAATTTTGTCACAAAATGAAATTAGACAATCCTATTTAAGCAGTTTTCAATACTGAAAAGTGAAGTCTTGCTTATCTCAAATTATAATTGCAAATTATATTTCTTCATTTCCAAGTTCGAGAACAAAATACAATGAAATCAAACTGATCATCTACTTTGGATTTAAATATTTTCTATAATCGTCTTCCTTACTTGACATTAGAAACTTTCATTGGCAATACTGTTCTTCAATTTTAATGTCCTTTAATGCTTCTGGAAAATAGTAAATAGAACTAGTGAAAGCGAATTCAAATTAGCCACAAAAGGTTTCTGAGCCTACAGACTTAAGCTGTTACACTACTTGTCGGTACACATAATCTTATAGAGCAAACATCCATGGATGACCATTCAGTCTGCCTCCCGCTTCCAAAAGAAAGTTCATGACTGAGCTTTGAAGTTTCATAACGGTATATTGGGAGAAAAATAAATCTATTTTAGTAAATATATATGGCAGGCCGAAATAAATGATTGACTGCTAGGAGGATTCTAGTCAGAAAACAAGCCTGACAATCATCTCCTTTTAAAAGGAGGTGACTGTCCTTTGAAGTCCTGAAATGAGACGTCAGAGGCAGAAGAGACCTTGAAAACTACAGGACACCCGCCAACCCCCACCACACCACACGCACACGCACACACACACACACAGAGCACAGGGGACACTCAGCTCATTCATCCAAGGAAACTGCAGTCCACGGAGACGCTCTTCTCCGACGGGATGGGCGGGCCAGGAGGAGGAGCGCGGCGAGCCCGGGAAGGGGTGAGGAAAGAGACGGTATCGACGTCTGCGACAGATAATAAGGTCGCAGCCTAGGCGGCCTTACTTTGCGGCAGCTGCATTCCTACGTGGACGGAGAAGAACGGAGGAGCCACGCTCTGCGCACGGTGGAATAGAGCAGCCACCCGCCCGGCCCTCGAGCGGCTCACAGCGCCGGGCCGCCCGGAGGTCCGGCCTCCTGGGGTCCTTCAAATCTAACCGGCGCTTCCGCGACGCACGCTGAAGGGAGGGGGGACACCGAGGACCGAGCGACTTAGGCATCCACCGTCCTGCCTGACCGAAAAGCGAGGAAAGGAGTTTCATTTCCATGGTTGCTTTTACCCCTTGCTTTCGATCAGGTGATGACGCAGATCGTAGAAGGCTGGGTGAACGGCAGCCCGCGACTGGGCAGGAGACGGCGGGTGGGGAGTGCCGCCCAGGGTCTCAAGGACCCCCGGGCTGCAGGCGCCGGCGGCCGCTCCCTCTTCCGGCGGCTCTGCGTCCGCGCGTCCGGCCCGCGAGCCTGGCGTTTGCAATCGTCGCGGCGAAGACTATGCGGCGCCCCAACATCCTGCTCACCGGTTAGATCGCGCGGCTGGGAAGGGCTGGACGGCGGGACGAGCAGCAGGACTCCTGGGGCTCTGGGGCCGCGAAGGG